TGCTATCATGTCTCCCCTAGTCCTTCTTTTCATTAAACTAGACCTACCCAGTTCCTGCAACCATTCTTCATATGTTTTAGCCTCCAGTCCCCTAAAAATCTTTGTTGCAGATTTAAAGTGGAGGGAGGTGGAAAAAAAGAAAGGAAGCTACAACAAATGCCTGAATTTTTTGATGACATAAATTAACACACCTCTCCTCAAAACAAGTGAAGACAGGACTACGTAACCGAAATTTCATATAGTTTTACTTATGTCAAAAATATATAGAGTACATTGCCAGTTTTAAACAAATGTTTTCTTTACAGATTTGTCAAAATGAACCAATTCATCTCCAATCAAATCTCGCAAGTATTTCCAATTTGTTCACATGGTTCTTGTATCTCATGACAGGATGATGAAGCTGTACTTCAGTGTGTAGCCAACATCCATAAAGAACAGCGCAAGTTCTGCCTGGCTGCAGAGGGGCTTGGAAATCGCTTCTGTTTTTTGGAACCAACCTCAGAAGCTAAAGTAAGACTCCTTACTATAATTTAATTTAAATTAAATTTAATTCTTATTAGCTGCCCAGAATCACATTAGGGAAGTGGACAGCTGTATAAATAAATGTAAATAAATAAATTGTCATTAATCTATAAATAGTTGTTAGAATTTTTATTGCACTTCCTGTAGGAGGTGTGCAAAATCCTGAGTTGTTTTGCTGTGTGGTGTTCTCACACAAATTAAGGCTTTGTTTGACAGCTGACTTTGCAATTCAAGAATGGAAGTTTCATTAATTTTCGATAAGAAAAACTATCCTTTGAGCTACATGGACATTTATAAGGAAAGTGTCCTTGGAAATCTACAAGGAAAACTATTCTTGGAATTGGGGTGGGGGTAGGGAATCAAATCACAATCTGTGCTGTCCATAGTAATATTATACAACAGACAAATGATGTCTTCTTCCTGAATTAGTACCAATCAGCCCATTGTATGTAAATAAATAATTGTAGAATTTGTATATTTTATTTATTTATTTATTTATTTATTTATTTATTAGACTTATATACCGCTTCATAGGGCTTTCAGTCCTCTCTAAGCGGTTTACAAATTTTTAGCAAATTNGGGGAGCTGCCACCATCAGAAGCACATTCCATGCATACCTTTCTCCAGTTGTATCCCAGGTTACCAGAGCCAATTGGAGAGGTGGGATTTCTACAGTCCGTGAAAGTATTTCATTGGAGAATGTGATTTAAGACATACCCTGGGAGGAGGGGGGAAACAGGGTCATGGTTGGGTTGTAAATCATGTGGGGCAGAGTTAACTCCACTCAGGAACTGCTGACATGTTGCTGCTGATAAATCACTGGATTTCCTTTGAAACTTGGCTTGAGACTCATGGATTAATTAGGGCATCCATCGGAACCCTGACACAATGCTTAGGTCTTGAACCCAGGCTGTCAGCTTTCCAGCTTTCCATACAGAGGCATAAAAACACAGACATATTCAGAGAAGTGATAAGAGACGCAGAGTTAGTATTGGCATTAGAGTTTCTAATGGGAAAAAAGAATCAGGTGGATGTAGACCATAGCTTTTATCACCTATATAGTTCACCATTTTCTTGAATTTATGGTTTACTTAAATTAAAAGCAGTGGTGACCTTCTTTTGAATGAACATTCACTAGCTAGTACCTGAAGGAGAAAGTTTTTATAAGCAAACGGTTTCATTCTTAAGAACTCATGAGCTTCAGAAACATTTTGAGTGCATGGCCAGTTGGAACATTTCAGAAGAAGGAGCTAACTTTTATTGGATTGAATCCTGCCTCTACAACAGTCATTGCTAGATGATGTGTGATACACTTGAGATAAATTGTCCCATATTGGGACATAGGTGCCATAACTGAGACCTAAATTCTCTCTGTATGTATTTTATGTATTTAAAAAACGGTGTGTGTGTGTGTGTGTGTGTGTGTGTGTGTGTGTGTGTGTGTGTGTGTGTACTTCTTTTTCCAGTCAAAGATAAACAGACCTTTATCATGGGTGGCAATAAAAAAACTATAAAATAAAAGGAGAGAGGAACGAGAGAAAAGAGAGAAGCTTTTACTGGAAATACAACTTTGCAGGTAAAGTTTAAGTGACCTAACAGTCTGCAATGTTCCCATGTCATTTATTTGGCTGCCTAAACTCTTCAATAAGTGCTTTAAAATGCTGTAATTTTTCCTGTGGGAGTTCTTGCCTCCATGGAAACATAATCCAGCTTGACTTCAGTAGCTTTTTTCCAGTCAAAGAACCTGCCCACTTGCCTGCTTTATAATATGTGGCAGCAATTACCTTGAAACAAAGAGTGCTGTGTTTGATGCAGAGATTTGGTCTGTTTTGACTTTGCATCTCTGTCTTGGAGAGGAATTGTCATCATTCTTGATTGAGCTCGGGGAAATTTAATGAGGTTCAATGTTATCATTAGCTATTGGACTGCATCCATCATTCTTTGATTAGTGTATTATGAAAAGAATGAATTATAGTAGCAGCATAAAATATATAAGTGTTAGTGAATTGTGTAGCAGCATAAAATAAGTGTTAGTATCCCAAGCTGCTGCATTCTTGATCAGCTGCAGCTTCCCCATAGATTTTTTATTGAAGGGCAATATCGAATAATAGCAATAGTCCAGTTTGGATGTATATAAGGCAGAAGTACCTTTGACCAATGCACTCCTCCTCTCAATCTATGAAAGAATGCAACTGCCAAACAAGATGTATTTGTGCAAAAGCCTTCACTTGCTCTTCAAGCCGAAATTGAGCGCCTACTCAACTCAGATTGTGCACTAGCTTTGGATGGTGAAGGGTTATCTCAGCCAAAGGTAAAGATGGCAAATCGCTAGATATGAGGGACTCTAGCCCAAAGTCGTTCAGTGTTGTCAGGGTTGAGCCAAAGATAGTTCTTCTCCATCCAGACCTGTATAGCCTCCAGGCACTGGGAGAGGATCTTGATGTTATCTCAGGGACTGTCACAAAGAAGAGGGAATCAAGCTATTCTCCAAAGCACCTGAGGGTAGGACAAGAAGCAATGGGTGGAAATTAATCAAGGAGAGAAGCAACGTAGAACTAAGGAGAAATTTCCTGACAGCTAGAACAATTCATTAGTGGAACAGCTTGCCTCCAGAAGTTNCACTCCAATGATTTTCCCAATCCTGACTAACCACTTTATCTTCCCATTTCAAGTTTGCTTGTTTGTTTAATTGATTTATATAGCTACCTATCTTCTGAATGCAATTCTGGGCAGCTTCAACACATTAAAACAATTAAAAAATAGTAGTAAAATAAAAATCCAACAATGGGATGAACCCAGCATGGCAGAAACTTTTCATTTGGTGATCTAACTTCCCTATCTCAAGACCCTGGAGCCATCCACAGTTGGGGCCAATCTAATCTTGGGTTATATAGTATTCCAGAAGACAGTTGCTATATCTGAAAAGGCACACAGCCAATGCCCCATAATATCACATTCTTTAATTGAAGAGAGCCAGAATATGCCCCTACTGTTGGACTTAATGGGATGAGTAGATACAATTGGGTAGAGGTAATCTCGTAATTTAATGGGATGCTATGGCTCAGTGGCTAAGACACTGAGCTTGTTGATCAGAAAGGTTGGCAGATCAGCGGTTTGAATCCCTAGTGCTGTGTAATGGAGTGAGCTCCCGTTACTTCTGCCAACCTAGCAGTTCAAAAGCACATAAAATGCAAGTAGAAAAATAGGAACCATATTTGGTGGGAAGGTAATAGTGTTCCATGCACCTTTGGCATTTAGTCATGCCAGTCACATGACCATGGAGACGTCTTTGGACAGCACTGGCTCTTTGGCTTTGAAACAGAGATGTGCACCACTCCCCAGAGTTAGGAACAATTAGCACATATGTGTGAGGGGAACCTTTATATTTACCCTTTAATCTCATAATTAATCTAGCCTCATGCCAGGGAAAGCTTTATAGATGACACCAGCATCTTAAATTTATACTAAGGGCCAGTGTAGCAGAAATAAAATATTAGCATACTGAAGTGTGATCTTATAGCTGCATTCTGGACCAGGTGCATTTTCTAGATGGTTTTCAATGGCATGTACAACATATTGAATAATCTGCAAACTTTCCACAACTTTGCAAACATAGCATCACATGCCAAAAATATGTGAGGTTTTGACTTGCTGATCATTGCTCCAAAGTAGCTACATCTTTTTGCTTAAGGTCTGATTCATTGTTTTTTTTCCTGCAGTCTGTAGCATACTTAGTGTTTCCAGACCCATAATTTGAAAGGTTCTATCTTCTCTCTCATTCCTCTTCAATGTCTAGTTTTCATAGTCATACCTTGGAAAGAAACACTATTCTTATCCTTGTTGTCATAGAACTTGCCTTGTCTCGCATGATCTTCTTAAATTTGTCATCATTCTTCTCCCTAGAATTAAGATCTTCTCTAGCACATTCCATGTTTAGCTACTTTTGAGTCAAAGAAAATAAAAATTATGTATCTCTTTGGCATCTCTGCCCTGAAACATTAGATTATTGTCTTTTGGTTGACGTTATTTTTATCTTTCAATAATTAAACAGGATTTTTGTATTTTCCATTTTCATTTCTGTAGCGAATAATTTTAAGTGTTTATTATTTCTAAGGGTTCCAAGTGGATAGTGTTTTGTCCTTCAGTTTTGATTTCAGGCATCATCATTTCCAATTCTTCTAATACATCAATGTACAAATGAAATAGATTTGAGTACAGTATGCATTCTTATTTGTCTTTCTATTCTGAATCACTCTATTCTGAAAATAATTGCTTACATAATCAGGCCCTGGGTTCCAGAGATTTATTCAGATGGCTCTATTGTTGAAGGGGTAATTTTTATTTCTTTCAACTGTGGGTTTTATTTCAAGTTTTTAAGATATTGTTGTTATTATTATTAAGGTCTTATTTGTTTTTGTTGTTTTAACATTCTTGCTTTTTATCTATTATTATGTGCTGCCAGCATTATCTTGGGTGAGATGGGCAGCTATATAAATTTGATTAATGAATAAACTGATTAATACATTCCTTAAATGTACTGTAGCTTCTTCTTCATTATAAGATTCTTCAGAAAAATAATCAGATGTTCTGTCAGCCGGTACTTTTAGCCTTAATATAGTCCACACTCTGGCATGATTTACAGAAATTAAAGCCTTATATTATCAAGAATGCAAAATATATAAACAGGGAAGTCGTGTATTATAAGAAACCAAAATAATACCCTTTACATTCTTCTGTTCTCTTTCTTATTCATTATATATAAGTTATTGACCTTCTGTTGCTCTCTCTATTTTTATACTTTCATATTTATTTGGCACGTCTCATTATCTATGTCTATAAATAAATCTTAAGCAAATGTTCATTTGTTTTACTAAATGAACTTTGGTACTTGGATTTTGGTAATTTTCACATTAGCTTGCATCATCTTTTTTGATATAGGCACATGGACTAAACTTTTCAAATTGCTAGGTCACATAGCGTTGTTATAA